CATGTTTGTTCACAATGTTTTTATAATTTTCATTCCAGTTTTCTCATATAAGAGAAGCTAAAATATAGGATGAAAGATACAATCCTGGGAATAGTCAATATCTTTTTTTTATACCTATGCATAGTCCTCTTGAATATGGATGTAATAATTTAGTTGTATTCTATTCATGAAGTTTGTGTATGTCTGTAAGATTGGAAGTTAGGGAATCATTTATATCAGTTTTTCTCTTCATCATCAATAATTGTCTCTTTGTGAACTTAATCCAATTGCTTTATTTTTAGAAAGACAGACATAAAACATAATTTCAAGCAAAAAATTCTGAATAGGATTCTATGTAGGTGTCTAAATAAATCTGGGTGGTTTAAAACAATATCAATAAGGAAGTTCAAGCATGAAAGAAATAGAAAAATGAGGAAAATCCAGCATAAGACTAAAATTAAGACAATTGTTAAAAAGGCAAAATAGGAACTAGTACCCTCCCAAACCTCTAAACTCAGGAACTCCAGAACTGTAAACCAAACCTTAATTGTACCAAGCTATGTGTTTCTTATTCCTGATGATCTCTTTGGAATGGTTGGGCAGTTCTACTCCTTGCCATTTAGAGGTCATTGAGGTATTCCTTTTCCAAATGTAAATTTTCTTCATGTGGTTTTGTTGTGGAATCCTGCATTATCTTTCATGTATTCTTTTACGCTGTATTATATATTGGAAATATTTCAGGTCTCACTTTTGTGCCCAGGGGGCCTGTAAGCTATTCAGAAAGTGGAATGGAAAAATACCTTTCTAAGGGTTTTTCCAAACCATTTTTGAAAAGACACTTAAGCAGAGGAGAGTAGAATGTAGTAGTATCCCATCCTAGTGGTGCTAAGTATGAGGGTATGATTCTGATTTGATGGATATTGTTTATGTGACACTGCTCCTGCTTCAAGTTTCTGCTGTCATGAATCTGGACAGGTGTAGAACAGCATGCAAAATAGTAAACCAGGGGCTTGTAATAATTTGACTGAAAAATACTTGAATCTTTTTCATTTGGCTGTCACATTGTCTTACCATACCCCTCCATGCATAATAAGGTGATACGTTTTGTTTTTTTTTTAATAGGTACGCATGCCATTTTTTTTCCTAAGTTGCGTAGAGTAGGAGAGGTAGGTTTTAGTTTGGTGAAAAAAAGTATTTTCTATGGACAATACTTTTGGTTTCTTTAAAAGGTAAATAATTTACAAGCCTTATTTATAGACATACTTCTATTCTTTCAGAGAAAGATAAATAAAAAGATACCAATAAAAGTGACTTTGCCAGCTGTGCTTACACTGGAAAGTACCATACTCAGTGATAAGTCAAGCTGAGGTAGTGAAGATGATGATTACAAAAAATGTGCTTTGGTATCATTTTTTTTTTTAATTATGATTTGAGACTAAATGGAAAAATGAGATTGTCTTTATTGAAGAAGTTTTTTTTGCTGAAAATAGATGTGGTTAAGCAGGAAAATATTTAGTTGATGGAATATAAGCAGCGTAACACAGGCATGTTAAGATTTTCTGTTGCATTTCTATATAGTAATATTTTTGGATCCTCTTTTCTAAGAGGTTCCTGAAGATACTCTCCAAAGCGCTGTCATCTTTCACATTTTACTGCAGTTCTTTACCTCTTTCTCCAGCAAAAAAAAGACTCAGTCTTCTTAAATTAGAAAGAAGAGAGAGAGAGAGAGAGATCCTTCATAAATGAGATGATGAGAATATGCAGCACAGTCTTTCTGTGGGTTTGGTTTGGGTTTTTTAAAATTACAGAAGACAATGTTTCCCTTTTATTCCTCCTATTAACAGCTTTATTGCTGGTATGTTTGTTCTTTGCTTTGGAGGTTGGGAAACATACCAGACTTTCCTTTACTATTTGAATATCAAAATGTGAATGACTTGTAAGTTGAATGCACAGTAGGTTGCAGAATGTGAATAATCAGTTGCCTAATTATGATTAGCTCTTTATTACAGAGTTTTCTTTAAAGACATTATCTGCAATTTTGTGTACACTTCCATGTATTATTAAGTGGCTTCAGTGGGACAATTTGTAGTACTAGCATTATTCTTGCAAGTATTTGTCCCATCATACCTTGACTCCTTCAGGAAAAAAGAAAGATCATGAGGTCCAAATTTTGACTTTATATTTTGACAGTAGATATTTGTATTGAAAAAATTAATGTATTCAAAATCTGAATACCTTTTCACTGCCAACAGTGAAAAAGAAAAAAGGTATTATATAAAGGGAATTGTCTCCAATAAAAATCAACTTTTGAGTACGTGAGTTGACCCATTGAATCCAGTGCCTAGTGTATATACAATGAGGCCTTTTTACCTTTGTTTGGTAAACCTTGAACAGCAGCTAAGTGCCCTGGAAGGTGAAGGATGAACTTTTCTGTCTTTCCTAAAAGTCCTGTTCCTGGAGTGATTCACAAAATTAGTTGGACCTCTGCAAACTTTGTACATAGCAAAGAAGCTAGCTGAATTTTTAATTAGAACAGGAAACTCTTCTATGCATATTGCTTTTTACCTTCTGGTTTTCTTTTGTTGTTTGATAACTACATCTTAAGTGAAAAATACGAGCACCCTGTATGAAAAAGAGAACCAATGTTTAATTAAATCTGTAAGTCTTTAAGCACAAGATTATATCCTACATTGTCCTTAGAAGAAAGAGGGAACCAGGCTACCTGTCCTGTATATCAAAACAGTTAATTGAGTCTCTAATTTGATTTCTAGAGTCAAGAAAATTGCCTTTCTTAACAAAAAAATAAAATAAAATTAATCTCTGATTCTTCTACAATATATTTAGTAAGATCTATAACTTCATGTTCTAAACACATTGATTGTTTTCAGTTTCTTTTCTGTTTATTGTTGTTCATCTTTTAATGTTGTTAATTCATAAAAATCTGTATTCATTCAGTTGAAATTGTGTCATCTGCTCAAACGGTGTACTAAGTAAATTACAGTTCAAATGACCCAGGATATTTCATGTTGGTTTCAATTTTTATTAGCAATATAACACAAAACTTCCTTACTCTTAAAAAACAGATATTTTTAAAATTAGTTATTTGATTTATAATTCAGTTCATTATTTCAGTTTACCCACCACTGCTGAAACATTTTGCAATATATATGCTATGTCATGGAATGATGAAAGCAGCATATTAATAAAATAATGGAGGTATATAGTGCTGTCCTCAGGTTCAGTAGAATTAGTGATAGGAAAAGATGTTTGCTGTGAATATTGATATTTTAAAATGAATGCTACTAAAAATGAAAAGAGGTGTTTACATTAAATATGAGTAATTTAGGGTTCTATACCAGATAATAAGTTTCTAAATTAGCAGCAAAGTAGGTAATATTACCAATTAATTTTTAATAAAATTTAATGCAGAACACTGGGTTACTTTTTCTTATTAAATTGTCTCTGTCTTCTTTCATAAACATGGCAAAAAAAATTGTTTAATACCTAAAATAATTTTATCCTTTCACATTTCACAGTTGATGTGTAAATATAGCTTGATTGGATAGTGCCTGAAACTTGTCTGCTTTTATATGTTAAGTATCTGTTAATCGTCCAGGTCTAGCTAAATTAACGAAAATGGTGTTAATTCTAGAAAATCAAGGCTGTTTTACAAAGCGTGCTTACATCATTCCCTACAGGCATTTAGTTGTGTGAATTCATTACTGATGTTATATACTTCCTGATAATAACATTGTAAAATGTCAGAGAATGCTGCAACCAAAACTACTTTTACTTAGTTTGGTACTCATACTCAAATTAAGTGTACAGGACACACATCTTCCTTCAAAATCTCCAGACTATGGATTTTTGCAATACACATGCAGATTACAAAGTAAAAAAATAAATGAAGGCTTATTCTTATATTAGTAATTTTTTATACTAATGTGACTTATTTAATTTTAATTATGAAAGCAAAACAAAACAAATCCTTTCTTTCTGGGTGTTAACTGTACAAGTATGTGTACCAGAGTAATGGGTAGTTTCAAAGTGCACAAGGTAATACATATGTGCATTTGCAAAAAAGAATGCAAATTAATGCGAGTTGAAATGTATTTATAATACTTTTTCCTTTTTGAAACTTATCAGTATATATGAAAAAAATAAAAGGTCTTCATATGGTAGTGATAATTATGGGTTAAGATAGGGCAGTCTTAATTTGTTTTATGAATGTGTTGAGGGTAATGTTCAAATTCACATCGGAAACAAGGTTTCATATTAATCCTGATTTTGCTTTAGCATTTTCCAATCTAGATCTTAAGAATGATATTAAAACAAAAAAGAACTAAATTATCTGTGGTCAAAGGTAATCAAATTTTACTATAAATTGTCATATATGCCATATATCTGATGTTTAAGATGCTAGTGAAAAATAACTGATAATTAATTTCCTTTATATTCTGAATAATGGGCACTGAATTAAAATCGGACCTTAAAAATCTGCTGCATTTTCTCCCTTGGACAGTTTCCCCTGATTGTTCGCAATTTAAAGTGTTTTGCTATCAGGATTTACTGTCTTCAGGTTGAGGAGACCGCTCTAATGAAAGTAGCTACCAGTATACATAATCTTACAGTATGCAGTATAACTGGTATTGGTTTAAAAAGTAGCAAGAGAACTTGCATTAAGAAAATAATAGTAGAAAACAAAATAAATAGAATATGCATCAGAAAATCTACTTGGTAGTAGTAAACTTTGGTGAATGATAACACAGTACTATATTTAGACCAGAAATTCTGAAATTCCATGGAAAAGTACATGATATGCCTTGCAAACTCTAGGTAGAAAGTGGATGATTTATGCACATTTCAACAGCATTGACTGCTATATGTGGATGTTTGTGTGTATTTCTGGTGAGAAATTTTGTTCTTATTACTTGCACACAGTGTTGCATGCTTAAAGTTAAATACAGTTCTAAAAATGTAAATATTAGTAAAGTATAACTGTTATTGGATTTTATTTTCAGAAGCTAAATTTTTCCAGCTCATCTGAAGGAAGTACAGTTAATTTAGCTCTCTTTGGAGAAGAAAAAGCTGAAACTGAACCAGAAAAAGCATCGGAGCTACAGGCATGCTTTACAGAAGGTATGTTTCACAAAAGTAAAAGTTGGGGTTACCAATTATGCTTTGGTTGTTTGCAACAAGCATTGGCAGTTCAAGGAGTTAATTTAGCTCTCTTTGGAGAAGAAAAAGCTGAAACTGAACCAGAAAAAGCATCGGAGCTACAGGCATGCTTTACAGAAGGTATGTTTCACAAAAGTAAAAGTTGGGGTTACCAATTATGCTTTGGTTGTTTGCAACAAGCATTGGCAGTTCAAGGAAGCTATTTGCTACAGCAGTTGTGGATCATAGTATGTCAAGTCTTAACAATACGATTAATTTTGCTTGTTGTAGATAGTTGTACTGAAGTCCGTGGAGCCATTTGTATGATGCAAAGTTAACTATGTGTGTATGTGATCATTTATAATATTTATAAATAAACACTAGGCACAATTCTATAAACTCATTCTCAGCAATTGGTAAACCCATTGATTTAAATGACATTCTCAGTAGTGAAATCTGCAAGACACAACCCTACATCAGGTTCATTCCACTGAGAAATTTAAGCCAGAATCATGTGATTACCCATGGTCCGTTCATAGTGCTAGAAAGCAGTCCAGTGGATGATTCAGTTCTTGGAAAGTTTGAGTGTAACAAGAGTTACTATCTTGACATTACACCATTAAAGGGGGGTGAGGGGATACATAAATATAATCCAAGATGCAACAGGTGAATGAGATCCTATGTTTTTATTCAACAAAGGAAGTCTTAACAGCATACTTGCATGTTCTTAGATGTTTCCATTAATTTTAGTTCTGTATAGCTAAATCCTTTAAGGGACTACTGAAACTTATGATATAGGAATGCATTTCCCATTGTTGTGATATTACAGATTTTACTTGCCTTTTAAGTTATGATTAAAATCATTCAAAACAAAATATGTTCTAGGATTAACTCTCCTATCCTATCCATGTTTTTTGATTTACTGTTATGAAGATGCCTTTGATACAGTCTAGGACACTTGTCCTTTGAAATAGTATTTCAGTCATCTTTAAAAAAACCTGTTTTGGAATGTGGGGCTATATTGAATATATCAAGCTCTTGATTAAAAAAAAAGTACACTTCTCAAATAATTGAATATTATATTACAATTCTTCCTTATCCTTATCTTACATGATGTGTATCAATCCTTGGGCATAAGATTAGTTTTTCCATAATGTAGGCATTTTGAGTAATTGAAGGTAAGGTAAATCATGCTTTTCACAGCGGTAGCTATTTTATCTGAGCTGATGAAATACAGCATAACTTACTTGTAACATATGAACTTAATGACACTCACAGGAAACCTAGAATACTGCCTTTGGGACCCATTAAAATAGTTTAAACTTGCTTATGTTTCTACGTGATGAATCATCTTTAAAGAAATAAGGAGACTACTGTTAAACAGACAGGTACTGAGGATCATTGAAAACTTCCTTGAGGCCCCATGATAAGGTAGGGAGCTCTCCAATGTGAGGCAGAATTCTGTGGATGGTGCCACAAAACCGTACCACATGGAAAAGCTCTTTCAATCTCCAGTTAAATCAGTTGTTTATGTCATTAAAGAGGCATCTTTAGTCAGCCCTTGAAGCAGAGGACATTCCTCAGTATAATAAAATAAAGGGTGTTTATATCTGTGTGATTTCTTTGAACCTTAGCTGAGAGATGAATGTACTTCTAAAAGAAGCTTCTGTACTCTTGACCTAGTTCATGTGAAAGTTGCTATGTGTTTATGCTCTTTGTTTCTACTCCCTAACAATTCTCATATGTTCTTTGATTATCTGTATATAAATGAAAAATAATTTTTACAGATGTGTTTATAAATGAAAATTAACTCAATTAGATGACTCATTGATTCTAAGCTTGATGTAG